GCAATGCCGCTGAACACCCCAGCGACAAAGCCGCGGTAGTGCTTGGGAGACTTCTTCGGCTCATCAGAGGTAGCTATCAGCGCGGTGGCCGCCGGCTTTGAGTCGCTAGTTTTCAGGTTCAGGGCTGAGGTAGCCATTGTCGCGTCGCTGTTCTCCGGTACAATATCGGAATCATGCCTCCCGTCCAAGAAAAAGCACAAAAGGCATGCAACACGTCAAAAGATCACGAAGAAACGAAGGTAGGGAGAAGCAGGGCCGTCGAACAACTCAACCCATTATTCTCGGTGGAACTGTCAGCAGCGGTCAGTACAGTAGGCAACTTGCAGGTTCCGCATATCGGAAACGTACAAGCGCCCGCGATGTGGTGACGATGTCGACAGGGCCGAGAGATCGGTGTGTTCGGACCCCCGAAAGTCGCGTTTTAGTGCCTTCCAAGCCAGGGCTGGACCCTTGAGATTGGCTTGCCAGATTGGTACGATGGTTCCTTCATAGACCTTAGCGGCTGCCCCTCCATATGCACTTGCGATCGTGTGCGACCGAGGATGGCGCGGTTTGATCTTTCTGTTGCTAATCAACTACTAACGTTGCTTTCACTAACTACTCTGTATACCTTCTGATAACTTTGCTGGCGCGCGCGCATTCGATACACGTGTTCTAGGTAACTATGTCGGCGACTACGAGTGCGACGACGGCGCCCGCTGCGGGTGTAGAGTCGAAGAAAGGTATGTTGGATGTTTGGCGGGGCGCGTTTGGAAGAGCTGTACTGACATCGGCGCAGTATGGACGACTCTCATCACCAACACGGCATACCTCACCGGCCTCCTTACCCTCGACTACTCGCTCAAGAAGCACGGCACAAAGTACCCGCTCATCGCTCTGTACACGGATACCTTCCCCGAAGAAGGCCACAAGGCGCTCGATGAGCGCGGCATACCGAAGCAACATGTCAAGTACCTGTTGCCGGTCAAGTCCAAGGACTTCACCGCGGACCCGCGCTTCTACGATTGCTGGAGCAAGCTTACGCCCTTCTCACTCGAGGAATATGACAGGGTGGTACAGCTGGACAGCGACATGTTGGTCTTGCAAAACATGGACGAGCTCATGGACTTGAAGCTGGACGCACCGAGTACAGGCGGCAAGGGTGACAGAGTGTTTGCAGCGAGCCACGCATGCGTGTGCAATCCGCTCAAAAAGCCGCACTACCCCAAGGACTGGTATGTTTCCCCCCTCAAATATGCATATGATATGTAGACTAACACAACTCCAGGATACCAGAGAACTGCGCCTTCACAACCCAACACGCCGACCCCACCACCGCCCAACACACCGGCGCCCCCTCAACCGCCGGCCTCCGCATGCCCAACGGCGGCCTCCAAGTCGTAAACCCCTCGCTCGCAACCTACAACCTGATCCTCGAGCAGCTCTCCAACGAGGCATCTGGCGACTACGACTTCGCTGACCAATCGCTGCTGGGCGATTTGTTCAACGGTCGCTGGGTCACGCTGCCGTATACCTACAATGCGCTCAAGACGTTGAGGAATAAGGACGTGCATGATGTGATCTGGAGGGACGAGAATGTTAAGAATATACACTATATTCTTAGTCCGAAGCCCTGGGAAGAGGAGGATGGGAAGTCAACGTGGGAGACGCATCAGTGGTGGTGGGATGTTAATAATGAGAGGAGGAAAGAGGAGAAGAGTAGGGGTATTGACGATGGATTCTGAGCTCTCACGATGTAGTGGGGTCGTTGCATAGTGGTCGGCGTGGAGGTGTAGAGTAGTACGAGAAACTTGGGCGAGCATCTTACGAGACGCCCTGGAGGCGTTGCATAGTGGTGGGGTAGGGAGAATAATGCCCTGCATAAAAAGTATTTGCCAACCGTGAAGGAAGAACACATTCCATCCAATGAAGACTGCGTTCCGATTATTGAACAGCCCACGTTACTGCCTACGAACACCTTCCTTTTCGGTAGCACGGCTTTCTACACGATGTTTTTCAAGTTTCCTTTAGGCTTGGCGCCAGGGTTCCTCCCCGATTCAGTAATCCCTCAAGCTCGGTAGTTATGCTTCTTTCAACACATGGTCCGCACGGTGTACCACGTCATGGTGGACAGTACTAACCCTGCATGGCCAGTGTACAGGCCTTGTGAAGAACTATTCGTAACGCGGACCAACATTTGACTATAGCAGTCATGCTCGGGCAGTTGGAGGGACGATTCGAGCAACAAGTCGCAGAAAACTTCTTGCATCGGCTTATTTCGCCCGAGACATCAGGCCTCGACGATATTTGAGCCGACTATAGCAGAGACTAAATCCCGAAGGAGGGCTAGCCAAACGGGAAGATCGGAATACGTCACGGTAACGCCGTGTGTACAGGCAAGATGCAGTGAGTGAACTGCTGCCAGTTCCCACGCGAACAGCGCAGACCCCACAGCTTCATCAATCTCAGGAGTAGCGCCGCGTACCTGCGTTTGCCGGCATTCGGTGAATCGAACGGCGGCGGCAAAGTCACACGGCAGGAAAGGCTGCTGGAAACTATATGGCTAGCTGCAGCTATCGTGCAGCCAACGCGCATGCAGATGCAGCGAGTAACGCATGCGGAGACCCTTTGCTTCATCTTAGCCAAGATTCGCAATCAAAGGGCGTCGTCGAGCTGTGAGCCCCTTTTCGCCGACTGAGGCAAAAGCAGGAGAGGCGGTGATGGAGGTGTGTGGTTGGCGTGTAGGATGAACCCGTCACGATCAAGCCGTTGGGCGGAGCACAGACGTTTGGCAGCTGCGATCTGCAACGCGCCTGCTGCGGTTTCACTCCTGAGCAGCGTGAAACCTCATTTCGTGAACAGCGCCAGCGCCCACGCGAGACCCTGTCCCGAGTCGCTACACATTTGCATCTCCTGTGCCGTCTACATCTTGACGTCTTCTCCCACACACGACCACCATTGAATCTCACCGACACGCCTTATCACGCCCGACCGCCTGCCGTCTACCGTCCTCCGTCGCGCGCACTAGCTATAGCTCGCTTTCGCCGATATACCGCCCACTCGACACCACCACCAAGTCCATAACGCGTAAATCAGCACCATGGGGGGTTCAATATCCAAGATGATGGCCAAGGTCTTTGGCTCCAAGGAGATGCGCCTGCTGATGCTGGGCCTCGACGCCGCCGGAAAGACCAGTACGCACCACCATCACACCACATACGCTGTCGCTAACTCTCCCAGCCATCCTCTACAAACTCAAGCTCGACCAGGACGTCACCACGATCCCCACCGTCGGCTTCAACGTCGAGACCGTCACATACAAGAACACCAAATTCAACGTCTGGGACGTCGGCGGCCAGGACAAGATCCGTCCGCTCTGGAGACACTACTTCTCTGGTATGTTGGGCCGTGGAGGCACGGTTCCGGGTAGGCGAGTCGACATGCACGCGACTGCATGCGCATGGCTCCTACCTTACCCGGTCTCCTATGAGATCTATCAATTGAACGACGTGGCTAATCGCAATCACAGGCACCCAAGGTCTCATCTTCGTCATCGACTCCAACGACCGCACCCGTATCGACGAGGCCAAGCAGGAACTCACAAGGATTATCCAGGACCGAGAAATGAAGGATGCGCTGTTGCTGGTGTTTGCGAACAAGCAGGATCTCAGCGGAGGTGCGTAGTCAATAATGTACAATGTGAGGGATATCGGGCTGACACGATATAGCTATGCGACCAAAGGAAGTCTCGGACCGTCTGCAATTAGACAAGATCGCCAAAGACCACGTATGGAAGGTGGAGCCTAGTTGCGCGACAACAGGAGAGGGTATCTTTGAGGGATTGGTACGTTTCGATCTCCCCAGCAATAACCATTTGCGCCTTCATTAACTAACACCTCCACAGGCCTGGCTCTCCAACAACGTCAAGCTACCGCCCGGCGCCAAATAAACGTCTTCCTACCCACCGCGATCCGCGCATCCCCGTCCCTCTCTCACACACTGTCCGCGATACCTGAACGACTTGCATGCTCTTCCCTGCATATACCCGGTTTTGTCCTCTTTACTTAATGTCGCACTTACTCTTATCGTCTTGTAATCTTCTTAATTGGGACTTGTACATTAGATATGTACAAATCTTTTTTTGTCTTGTGTGTAGATCTTTTTCCTGTTGTGGTCCGAAGATGGGTGCCTGGCTGGGCTGACTGGTTGGTTGGCTGGTTGGGCTGTCTATAAGTAAGCGATACTGCTATTACCTCTGTCTGTGTTCTGAAGTGCTGGTGGTGTAGGGTTTGGATGTTGATGTGGATTCTTTGACGTCTAACATCTAGGTTGGCCGCGACTGCCTCCTCGGACGCTCCTTCCGTACCCGTCCTTGCGACTTCTTTTCTCCGCACTCATCGACTACGCATCTTTCAGCCCCACTACTTTTGCTCCTCTGATATACGCCTTTAGCATTTCCTTGTTACGATCACGGCCCACTCGAGTTCCTTCGCGATCACCGGCGCTTGTTGTAATCAAAGCAACGAGCACACTACACGAGCAAGCCTTGCTGCACTGCTTGTATGGAGGTGAGTCGCGTTCTCGACAAGCCGAACGTTCGTCACTGAGCAAGAGCTAATTGTGGGATTGGGATACATGGCAATAAGCTTGTGCATCCGTGTTGTCTAATCTGCGACCATTCTGAAGTCGCTTTACTAACGTCTAACATTGAATTAGTAGGTTTGCGAAACGATGAGACTTTGTAGATTGGTTAGGGGCGCTCTTTGTTGTTCGAAAACTGCCACCCAAACATGATTGTGGTGGCTTGTCTCACGACGGCAGCAAGCAATGAGACATACACAATGATGGCTATATGAAGACGCTGGAGAACAGCGTTAGAATCGGCACCAGCTGTCTGACTCTTCGAGACAAGACAGGATCATTCTCTAGGCCACGCAGCACACACACTTCCTTATCTTCCCTTCAACCTTGAAGCCCCATATTTCACTTTCGCATCAACAAGAACGACAAATCATCTCAGCATGGCCGGTAAGAAGAAAGGCAAGGTCGCGGATCAAGCGCTCAGCGCCAAAGAGATACAGAAGATCAAGAACAGCATGGCGGAGTTCGTTAAAGACCCGTCTTCGAAGACCGAGCACTGGGCCACACTAGCTGAACCCAAGAAACCAGCTGCTAATAAACTCTACGATGAGTTGATTCGTAGCGGCGACTATCACGGTGACCCTAATGATACCACTAGACCGGCGACTGCTGGAGCGAGCGGACCAGCTGCTACGACAGGAAATCCCAATGCCTCTCTACCTGTCTCTGGAACTAATGTAGCAGCCGCCCCCCAGGGTCCCATCATATCTACTGGCGACGGAGGGAATGCTTCTGAGACCGAAGACTCTGACGAAGAGACTACATCAGATAGAGCGAATGCTCAAAGCCTCGTTATTAAAGTCAACACTGATCGACGAATGCCGGATGCGAGCGAAGCTGTATCACTGAACAGTGAAGGCGCAAACTGGGCTGTTGACGAATGGAAACTGTATGATAAGTACCAAATGCTCACCGAGAGCGGCCGGGAAACTCCGTTCCCCATTCGATCCGGTTTCCAGGACGGCGGACCGAACGTATTCACAAACCGCTTCCGTGTCGACATCAAGCCCAAAGTAGTCCTCCATGAGTTCGAGATCGTCGGTATGCCTTCCGGAGTATCGCGTAGAATGAAGAAGTTCTACGTTGATACAGCAATCGACAAGTCAACAATACTCCAGAACAACAAGGACTACTTCGCAACGGATTACAACAAAACCATCATTACTTGGAAGGACCTTCGAACAGAACTCAACGAAGGAACCAAGTGGAGTAAGAAACACAGCGGATGGCACCTTGTCGATATCAAAGATGGTGAATATCATATGCTGTCGCTCTACCTCAAGCACATACGCGTCGTGGATACCGGAACGCTAGAGCGATACGTCAAATCGGATACAGGCGATGATGGCTGGAACCCCCTTACTTGGAATCAACAAGCAGACGACAACAGCCCCAACAAAGACACTGTCATCAACGCTCTCAACATCGTCATCTCCAAGTGCTTTGAAGGCGGCGTTTTTCGGTTGGGCGCAAACAAGTTCTTCATCGAAGCTGGTAATGTGCCTTTAGTCGGTAGTCCTCTTTCCACTATCCGCGGTTACTTTTACTCCATACGTCCTGGCATGGGTCATATCCTTCTGAATGTCAACGCCTGTACGAGTGCTTTTTTGCAGCCTGTAACGCTCGATGTACTCATGAGCACAGCAAGCCAGAAGCTGTTTGGGAAAGACTACCCTAGTTTCCTTACTGGTCTCCGTGTTTACATCGACTACACCCGCGGCGATACTGAGAAAGCCCAGAGTTCCGACATGAACAAGGATGAGTCGAGGATAAAGAAGATATGTGGATTGGGTTTGGCTTGCAACAAGCAAAAGTTCAATCTCAAGATAAGAAACGACGAAGGCCAAGTCGTGGATGAGCAGCAGAAAGATGTCGCAACCTATTTGCTTGACAGTAAGTGCTTGGTTGCTGCTTTACAAAGCTTTCTAACGAAGCTTAGGATACGGTATGGACTTACAACATCCGGAGTTGCCCGCGGTGAACTTGGGAAGTCGGCAAAGGGAGACCTGGTTCGCACCCGAGAAGTTGGTTGTCATGCCATACCAGATTTACTCGCGCACAGTACCAGGAAACCTGATGGGAGGCATGCATGCAGTTGCTTGTAGGATGCCGGAGATCAATCGTGGACTGATCGAAGGCGAAGGCATGAGTAAGCTGCGGATCAATGCTAGCCCGGTACCGCCTGAGGTGAGTTTATACTATCTTTTCGGAGTGTTGTACTAACCATTCGAACCAGCTTCAATCAATACCCATCACGGTCAGCTCGAAGATGTTTGTTGTACCATCGACCACACTGAAGAACCCGAAGATCAAGTACGGCAGTAACCAAAGCTTCATCATGGACGCTTCTGCTCAGTGGGACCTTGCGGACAAAGAGTTTCTTCACACGAGTTCCTCCGCGAAAAAGCCCGTCATCAGAAAGTATGTGGTCATACACGAAAAGCGGGTGCCCGTCGACAGGGTTACACAAATCAAGAACAACTTCGAGAGACAAATGAGCAGCAGAAATGTCGGCCAAGCTCAGAACCTGTGGACAGGCGCGATCGATCTCAGGAACAAGGCCCTCGTTCCAGACATTTTGCGAGAAGAGCTTAATGAATCCAGAAAAATCCAGGCTGACCTAGTCATTCTCATCCTTCAAAATCGAGATCAGGACGTCTACTCCTCCTTCAAGTACCTGGCCGACAGAATCTTCGGGTTTCATACGATGGTTTTCGTTGAGAAGAGCAACTTCAGGAAGGGCTATTGGAACGAGTCTGGTCTCGACCAGTATGTTGGGAACATTATGATGAAGGCCAACCTCAAGTTTGAGGGCATCAACCATACCGTGGAGTCCAGCAGTCCGAACTTCGGCAACATCACCAAAACTTTGAAAGATACCCTGGTCCTAGGTGCAGATGTCACCCATCCGAGCGGCGGAGCTTTACCTGGATGTCCTTCAATTGCTGCGGTCGTGGGCTCTGTTGAGAGTACAGGAGGCAAATTCCTCGGATCCATCAGGCTACAGGGAGAGGCAAATAAGGAAGTGAGTACTGAAGGACGACGTCGCTAGAGCATTGCTAACGAGGACAGATGATCGACCCTGAGAAGCTCGCAGATATGGTAGCCGAGAGAGTATCCGACTGGTACTACGAGAACCAGAACACCTACCCCAAGAACATTCTCTACTATCGCGATGGAGTCTCGGACTCTCAATTCAAGACCGTCAAGGATGAAGAGTTGCCCTGCATAGTCAAGGGCTTCAACGCCTTCGTCAAGCAGTCCAAGGACCAGGGTAAAGGCAAAGGCAAGGCAGTTGACCCTCCGAAGGTGAAGATTACTGCGTTGGTCGTCACCAAGCGGCACCATACACGCTTTTACCCGCAAGATGTCAAAGACAGACAAGACGACAACCATAACGGCAAGCCGGGGACACTTGTAGAGCGTGGTGTTACCTCACCCTACTTCGCCGACTTCTACTTGCAGTCACACAACGGCATCAAGGGTACCGCAAAACCAGCACACTACTGGCTGTTGCAGAACGACATGAAGATGACCAGCATGGACCTCCAGTATCTGGTAAGAGAGAGCGACCCTTTTGAATACACACCTTCGAAACAAAGACAGCGCTAATATGAACAACCTAGACCCACAACCTCTGCCACACCTACGTCCGCGCTACCATGGGAGTCTCCTACGCCGCACCAGCCTACTACGCAGACAGACTATGCGAACGAGCCCGCTGCTACATCCGCAAATTCCTCGTCCCCTCCGAAGAGGATCGTAAAGACATCGACGATCTCCGCAAGCGAGAAGAGCGGGTCCGCGGTCTCTTGGCTCCCAAAAAGTACGACAAGGAAGTTGAGAAGAACAAGACGCGAGCGGAGCGAACAAAGGAGCGAGAGGAACTGAACAAGAAGAAAGAGGAAGTGGAAGAGGCGCTCAAGAAACATGTCTTCGATAAGGCGGTAGCGTCGTTCCGTGACGATGTCAATGATCCGAACTACGATCAACAGAATCGGAATCAGCTCTCGAAGACGATGTACTGGATGTGAGATGGTGGCTCACGGGGGATGCGCCGGGCTTGTCTCCGGAGCCTAACTGCGCAAAGGTTTGCTACGGCACTTTTGTTCAAAGTCTCTTTTCCTACACACTCCCCTCTTTCGTGGATTTCCCTTCTTTCTTTTTGCCTGCTGTTGCTTCGTGTTTCCTTGGATCGTTGTTACTCGATGTCGATCTTTGTGTTTCCTTCCCATTTCATATGTACTGCTGCGTTCTGTTGCTATTTTCGTAGTCGTTTGCTTTATTTCCTTCATGTCATAGACTCTGCTTTCTGCTCATATATCTCATTACTCAATAGACTGTCCAACCCACAAATCATTGCAACTCTTGACCAGGCTCACGCTGAACAACCATAGCAATGTGTGAAAAGAGCTGAAGAATGATATGACTTCTATTGAAACAAGTCGCTTAACCTTTCGGAAGCTTGACTGAATGATACTAAAGCATTGACATGCAACACCAAATGAACCTACACTAACACCTCTAGCCATATTGCAGGCCTTCCCTAATCTAAACCACACCAAATACAAACGCCTTAGCGCTAGAATGCAACGATGAAGATGAAGAGCCAGGAACCAAAGTTGCGCCAACCCGTCGTCAAAATACGTTAAGAATGTATGCAGCGCTTGGAAGATCATTTCCACTGACCCTGGCTCAGCTTGAGCAGGCCCTCTACGCACCCAGCTTCTTCTGCTGAGTTTATACTCGAGCGACCACTCGCGTCGTCACCGTGCATGAACTGTCGCAGCTCATCGTCTTGCTCAGGGTCGACAACACCCTTGCCAGCTTTCCGCTTGTCCTTGGCCAGCATGGCACCGAGACTTGACGTCTGCGACATCAGATCTGTGTTCTCTCCCAGTATCTTGCGAGCTGCTCGTGAAGCAGGAGGCGTAGCGGCGACTTGGCGGTCTCTTCGTACAGACTTGGACGCGTTAGGCTCCCAGTTCTCCTTATCGCTCTCCGTTTGCGGGAACTCGTCCGACTCGGTGCTTTCGCCGCCCTTCTTGTAGTCGGCATACTCCTTGCTGGAGAAGCGGCCGTTGATGGTGGACGCGCGTTGCATGGAACCGCGAGCCTTCTTGAGTGGACTGCTTTGTACTTTGTGTGAGCTGTGGCGTGCCATCAGCGGGCTGCTGTTTTGGCGGGCCTGGTTCTGTGCTAATATCCTTCGGTTCGCGCGTAGTATGCCAATCGCGTCAGCTGCACTGCCACTCTCCTCTTGTTCGGCACGCGTTGTCAGGCTGGTTGTTGATCGGCTCTCGGGATCACACCAGAACTCCCATGCGCGCGAATCCCTGCTCCTTCCGATATTCGATGTTGTCCTTGGTACCTTGGGGCTCGGCTCGCCTCGCGCGGCGGCGGCTAGGCGGTCGTTCAAGCCAGCTGCACTGTAGCTTCGTCGCAGGCCAGCAGCGGCACGGGAGAAGGAAGATGGAGTCTTCTTCGACTTTGGCGGTGATGGCGTCTTGTCGAGGTCGGTGACGATACGCGCAGTGCCGTCCTCATTGGTCGCTATCCGCACGAAAGAGTGCTTGCGCTTCAGTGGCCGGGAAGGGGTCTTGGTTGCATGGTCAGGTGATACTGAAGGCTTCGGAGGGGCGTTCGGAAAGGTGATGACTTCGGGCGTGTAATCGTCGAGATAGCGGACGAACGACGCGCTGCGACGGTTGGAGATCCATGATGTGCGTTGTTGCGCGGCGCCCTGTGAAGATGGTGCAGCCTGCTGCGAGCTGCTTATTTCAGCGGAGGCATTTTCGATATTTTGAGATTCGGTAGATGGCTCTGCGACAACTTCATTCGCGTTCTCTGGTTCGTTGGCAGAAAAGGCAGTGTCGATGGTGCGTGGCTCTGGGATCGTTTCGTCGGAAGTGAGTTCTGGCGTTGCGGGCTGCTCGGGTGGGTCAGACCTCGGGCACTCGTCCTGGTCCGCCTCTTTCGGCCCCGGCGCGTTATCGATATTGCGCGCAATGGCTACCGTCTCGTCCTCGGTGGGCGGGTCCGACATGGTGGAAGAAGAAGACATCAGCGATGCCGTGGAAGATGGTTCGAGAGGCCGTGAGCGACGGCGGTCGTTTTGGCGTTTATCTAAAGCAGAGCGTGATCAGGACGTGTTTCGAAAATCATGCGCACAACCAAGCCACGCGCAACACTTCGGAGCGATTCAATCGGGTCGATTGAAAAGCAAGCACCAGCGACGCGCACAACAGATGGATTGACTTACTTTGAAACCAAATCTAGGACGCGATGTTAGCAAGGCGCGCACACTCGTGACGTGGAGAAATTGGCGCTTACCTGAACTTCTTTCTCGCCAAGCGCGACTTTGCGGACGATCTCTAGTCGTGCTGCCTTGTCTGGCTTCGGGTTCTTGAGATATTCCGATTTCAACACGTCTTCGTCTTCCTTGCTGCAAGATGTCGTGGTCAGCGCTGATGGGGTGATGGAGAGTCGTGCCCGCGGGGTAGGCCGAAGTAGCTCCCGATGGTAGGTTGCGCACGAACCAACGCGTTGAACATGGGTCGACACGGTCGAGTTGGAAAGGCAGAACTTGGATGGAATGAGAGCATACCTGGTGCGTCTTCTCTTCTGGCGAGCAAGAGCTTTGTTGTCGACATCCGGTGGCATGTGGTTTGCGACAGTTTCCTGCGAGTGCACGAGGAAGGCCAATTGACCACTAAAACTGGCGCGTCTGACGGTGGGAAGACGCGATGACGCAGGCGAGGAAAACGACGGCAAGGGCGATGAGGCGGACATGATGGGATGACAACAACAGATGTTGGTAATTGAACTTGGTGTGATCAGAGAAGAGCTACCATGAAAGAAGGTTATAGTAGAAAGAATAACGCGTTCAATATGGTGGCAGGAAAGTAGTGTGCGAGGCGCGTCTTCAGTCGCGTACGTATCAGATTGGTCCGAGCCGAGCGCTTGCCTATGTCGTGCATACCACTTGACTGAACTTGCCGCCCGTGCACACGACCACTCCAGCCTCATATCCTGTATTATCCATGCGGCAGACGGTCACGCATGCACGAGCATGATGAGGCTGAGAAATTGTCACATTCTATCACGCCCAATCTAAGCATCGCTGACGAAAACGCGTGCATCCCATCACTTCGATAGCCTTTCGTGGTTCATCTCGGCGTCTTGCAAGGAACTACGCGAACGCGGGACGACAATTATCTGTTTTGCTTTTCCAAGGTTCTCAGCCCTATTTCGGAACACGTCCAAGAACGCGCGTGAGCAGAGCCCATTGCACAGCAGATTCGTGCAACAGCATTGGCCCTCTGTATATTGCCGCCCCTCTCTCGACATCATCTGCTTCCACGCGAGATGAAGACGCGTAGGAGTCGCGACGAAAACCATGCTTCTGTTTCCACACGCGTAGCACTGACAAAGCTAGTACTCAAAAAGGATAGTGGTGAAACACGTCCGCACGTGACGCGCTAACCCTTCCAATCACCCCGCCACATCCGCGAAACACGAGTCAAACAATGCACGGTTCTGCTCATCACCACGTTCTGACACAAACTCTCTACCATCGGTATCATCCGATGCCCTACCCTGCCCGTACGCATCATTGCGACTGCAATCTAGGCAGCGACACGCTACTCAACGACTATCCAGTCCGGCCTGCAGTCTAACTCTCTTGGCGGTAACTCTCACCGTCAGATGGGCTTGCACGATGCTCAACCACCATTCCATCTCTGTTCCCGCAGATGCGCATACTCACTTGTCCTCCTTAGCATCTGACCTTTTGCATGCACTTTGGTCTAGTCGCGGTCTCATTGTTCCATCCCTTCCTACCCCACATCCACCGGTGAAGACAACCATACAAGGCAGAAGGTTTTGGAGCAAGAGTCGGAGGGTTCCGTGGCCTGATTATACAGATCTTTCGCGTCAAGACTGATCGGTGTCTTTCTGCCTTGTACAGTACACTCTGACGATGTCTGTGTTCAGGAGCCAAGGAGAGTTGCACTGCTCGGACCGAAGCCGACAGAAGATATTCGTAAGACAGCTTACTATCCCGCAACCACGTGCTGCATGCGGCACTTCTGGAGTTTCAACATTCGCGTATTGGCCATCGAGATCTAACCGAGTGCCTGTGGCTTTTTGGCGTTCGTGCAATCCTTGAGCCTCACCGGTTTTGGCCCCATTTTCCTATCTCGTCATCACCAGTTACCTCCTAACCTGCCATTACGATGGATGATTGGCGGATGGCACCCTTGCCCAAATCACAGCTACCAACGGTGTGCTGTTCTGACAGCCCTACGAAACAAGAAAACCCGCCCGCTAGGTTCCTGTTCGCGTAGGCGAGCTACTGCATCGAGCCTCGGGTGAGGGTTTCACACCCGAGAATCTACACTTCGGTCAGAGATACGGTCGCATCGTGGTATAGGGCTAGCCCTACGGGTCCACCTTCGTACCTAGACTCCGCTTCCGCCGCGAAGATTCTGGAGTCTGAGATCCTTTCGCACGATATAACCGCCACTCTACCACTGGAACGCGGACCGTGACTGAACGTTCAGCTAGCACTTCAATTGGTTGGAGCTCTCTGCCTAGTGCTATTGTCGCAGGACATGACTATGCACGGTCTCGATGCTCGTTTGGCTTTGATTCGCCGGGGCCAGGTGTTTCTTCCGTTGATTTCATCTCTAGTCCTCTGATCGGATGCAGGGCTTAGGCCTCTATTCCCCTCTTCCCGGTCTCTGTCCGCCGTTCGCAACAAGTGTGCTATCTCTTCCACTGTATCACATGTTGAGCCAAGAGTCACGGGAGCTGTCGTGGACAACACTCCAGCGAATCGGCCCCTGATTTTTGACTAGCGAACATTTGACCCAGCGGGAAAGGCGTCGAAAGCAGGCAACTGTACCCAAGAGGCGAAGAGGTCCACCGTTAGCCCTTCATCATATCTTGTCACGCCAACCTCCGAACACCCATGCACGTTGCAGAAGACGGTGGCAGTCGTTCTACCTACGTGCTAGCACTAGACCGGACTTCAGGAATTCCTTGATGTAACAGGCTTTGCTTGTGTTTCTTTACGCTACAAGTCAATCTCATTGGCAGCGTCACTTCCACATAACTCTGTATTGTAAGCGATGTTCCCATATGTGCAGCTTTCCCCTGTTGCTGCAATATTTCAGGCCGACCACGATAACCTGTGCGTTAAATTCACCCTTTTCACCGATACAGTGCCACCCTTGTGAGTCACGGGCCTTCGTAGCGATGTGATGGTGTTGACGGAGGCAGTCTAAAAGCCCAACTCACGTCCGGCTTTGTGCTACACAAGATACAGGATCGAACTTATAAGCTCATACGCCCCAGCATCCTCTTTTAACTTAACAAGCTCAAGTAAAGCAATGTCTGGCAACATGCGCGTCGCAATAGCAGGTAAGGCAGCCATCAAAGGCCATGCAAACTACACTCGGCCAACCTTCTTACACTGTTAGGCACTTCTGGTCTAGCGCTTCTGATAGCACAAGAGATCAACAACTCGACGAGCCACCAGCTGATCATTCTCTCGCGAACCGTAAGCACCCCTTGGAAGAACACAGTTCATCTCCCGAGTACCAAGTAATGAACTAACGATCACCAGCATCAAACGAGCCTGATCGCTTCTGGTTACAACTGTCAAGTCGTTGACTACAACAGCCCCACATCTCTGCAGCATGCATTGATGGGTGTCGATACCGTCATCTCGACTGTACTGGGCAATCCTCAACTCCGTCTAATAGAAGCGGCTGTACAGTGCCGGGTTCGTCGCTTTGCACCTGCGGAATTTGAAGGTCAGCCAATCCAGCGAGGCCAAAACGCGCTGCTCGATCGTGGCCGCAACTCTGCGTTGGCCTTACTGCACCACTACCGCGCCAATATACAGTATACAGTCTTTGTTTGTGGCATACTCTATGAGCGCTTCTCGGTGAACGGGATGATGTCTCATCGTCTTGGGACTCATAGCGGCTATGGCAACGAGGGAGACTTTGTCGCCGACCCACGGCAGATGACTTCGACGGCACCGATTTACGACGCAAACCAAAACCTCTCCTGTATCTGCCTGACATCCGCATACGACGTGGCACAGTTCGTGGTTCGTGCTCTCGACATGCCAACTTGGCCTTCCGAGATGAGCATGTGTGGTGAACGTATGACTGTCCATGCCTTGGTCGAGGCTATCAGGGCGTGCCGAAGTAAGTATCATCATCGTTTGTCTGATGAATGAGCTTTGCTAACATGTCTTTAGACCGACCATGGGCTAGCATTGACTACCAAGCCCCCGCCAGTACGCAGGTATTCTCTACAACATCCATGCAGTTGCTGACCGACTACGCAGATCTTGAGTACCAAATGACGATGGCTCAACTAGGAGGAGACACAGCCGGACAGAGGCGGCTCGCACCGCTCCTCGCGACAGCAGAGGGGCGCTATGATTTTGCGGTACCCGCCTACCTTAACTCAGTCTACCCAGACGTGCAGGTCACTCGTTTCCAAGACTGGTTCCTGCGCAACTGGGCCTCGGTACCGTGAACCAATACCATTGTGGAGTATCGTCCGCTACTATGACGATACTTCCGGGACCGAAGAATATCCGCACGGGACTAGTCATACTTGGATCGTACACAAGGGTTCGGTTCCTAGGATTTTGACAACGTCTCATGGGGCTCCATGCTCCGTCTTCTCCACTTACGTACTGATTCGATTTCGTTCTCAGACTGCTTCTATGTACTAATATCGAGTTGGCGATTGAACCAAGGTCTGTGGGTCGCAATAAAGCTGCGAGGCGTTGACGATGGGATGCTCTTTGCGGCTTACAATGTAATTATACTCGTAATGTTATCAAGTCTGCAGTCCCCAAGTCGTTGCAATTTTACAAGGGTTTGGCAGTTGTGAAGTCTTGATCAAGGTTGTGTCGCTTACGCCTGAGACACTACCTGGAACGCCTCCACTGCCAACACCGCACGCGACACGTAGCGGCTCGCTCGTTCCGAAGCACAAGCAACGCTAACTATTTCTGCAGAAGCATACCCGATCTGCGATGATGTGAGGAAGGGTCTGGTCAGAGTTTGATGGCAATCTTCGATGGGGAATTACATCAAGTCGACGTCACCGGTGGGGCAACCGCTCCCCACTGCCATAATAAAACCACGACGCGCCTGAACACTCTTTTCTTTTCAGTATCACAACCACGACTTCAATTACATCTTTACGTCCAAATTCACATTCTCGAAAACTTTATCTTTCTTCCTATACCCACAACGTAAGTTTCATTCCAAGAGGTGGTGTGGTGGACGGGCTAAGTTTGCCGTTCCTGGCGCGACGCCCCCAAACCATCCACAAGCACGCGTCTGTCCATGTTGCTAACATATCTTCAGCACAAACACATTCAAAATGGTTTCTTCTCAGCAAGGCTACGCTCCCACCACCGTCGACATGAAGGGTAACACCCAAGCTGTCAACGAGGCTCAGTCCAACCTCCCTCTCCCCGAGCAGCCCCCTGTCGCCTCCGACTTCAACTCTGCCGATGCCAGCACCGTCAACGTTGGCTCCGGTCGCCAAGAAGCCTCTTTCGCCTCCGGCGGTGGTGCCATCCGCGAACCCGCTGTCGGTGCTGGCGGTGTTTCCGGACGTGAGGCCAAGGATGGCCTTGGTGGCATCCCCAACGACGCTGTCTCGCGCGAGGCTAAGGACAAGGCTGGTCTTGCCGACACCACCAACAAGGACTACGGATACCCACAGAAGAACGACCCCAGCGCGGGCGTCAAGCAGTAGAGTACTGCAGGAGGAAGGATAATGAGATACCCGAAGCATCATGGGATTGTATGATTATGGCTACTATCACTGCGCTTAGTAGCAGACTGCAAGAGCAGTCTTACGATGATCAATGAATGAAATGAACGAACAAACGAATATGTCATCTCCCTGTCGAATTGTTATGTCGTGATGAAGACGATGATGTATGAATGAATCCCATTGCCCCATGCTAGACTTCGTGCCAACGCCTCACGCGTTTCGGATTAAACTGCGCATGCGACAGGCGCACCAACAGCATCTGGCCGGATGTCACCCGTTCCTGACGCCATGTCAGCCGCAGTATGCACGTATGCCCGACTCTAGCATATGTATGGGTGGGCCCATTGCCGCTTTCCGAGCTACCACTGCTACGGCCGTTCGACTAAAGGCGGGGTTGTTTTGAGCACCTAGGTAAGGCTGAAGTAAGGTGGGATGTCTCAATGTGACGACGTCATGACGCAAGTATATCGGGGCTTGAAGTCTGACGGTATACATAGGTCAAGTTTGCACTTGACTTCAGGTACTCATACCACTTGAACTACCACAACTTCCAGAATCCAATCAATTGATTTACTCCAAATCTCAACAATTACAACACAAAAGAACTATACCAAACAACAGCATGTCGGCTTCGCACGGACAGAAGGTAAGTTCTCCGTCTGGAGCCCTCATACTTCGTTGTTTATCGCTGGTCCATGACCTCGTTTGTCATGACGGAATCGCAGAAACACTCACTAACTTACTGTCAATAGGTTACCACCGACCCCGCGTCTAAGATCCCCGTCCACGAGGGTGTCGGCACCGTCACATCAGACTCTCTAGCAGGCGAGTCTTTGAAGGGCGACGGTTCATTCGGCGAGGGCAACCCCAAGGCCGCAGCAAGCAAGCAGCCATCAGCATCAACCACCACAAACACCCACGACACATCAAACGCCACCAAGCTAGACGCCGCCGTCAATGCCGAGGCACGCGACGCGCAACAAGGATGGAACGAGGAGAAGATCATGAACTCAGGCAAAGGTCTGGGTAAGGAGGCCGGTGTCGGTCCTACATACGCAGTTGCTGGTGGAGGTGCTTCATCAGGAGGCGCTGGCAGCGCTGGCACAGCACCTACCGGTGTTGCTGCTGGTACCAACATCGACCCCAGCGTTCTCCAGCCCAAGGGTGCCAACTTGACAGAAGACCCCAACATGAGCGGTAACACCAAGTTTGGCGAGATCGGTACAAAGGATGACCCTTCTAGGCAAGCGGAGCTTAAGTTGGCGAAGGCGGCTGCGGCGAGTGCTGCGGTTGAGAACAGGGACCTGGCTCAAGGCGGCGACTCCAAGTTCAGCAACCTGGGTGATACCAACGCTTAAGTGTTGATGATGCATGGCGATATACTTATACCGTAGAGTAACGAGCCTAATGAATGAAACAAATAATGACCTGCAAGCTGTTATCCATGTTCTGGTGATGAAAGCGACAAACTCGAGGGGTGAAAGCAGCACGTGGCGGGGCCCTCCCAATCGGGCCTCTTCCGCGGGCACGGACGCGGGCCGTTGCAGCAGTTCAAGGTGGCCTTTCGCGACGCGGCATGAACCCCAGCTATCAATGTCGTTCATTATCCCACCCACGCTTCTTTCTTTTACCTAACCGTTCACCGAATCGAAATTGGGTCTGCAGAACCCCGATTGTTCGTTTGACTGCCCACCATGAACGGCTACGGGGACAACGGGCACGACGAGGATCCATTCGGTCCAGCCAAGGGCGGCATTGTGTCCAGTTTCGATGCCTTTCGTAAGTCTTGTCTTTACGCGGGTGTAGAGATGGAGGGAGGAGTAGCAGGCAGTTTGAAGGTCTCGAATGGCTAATACATGTCGTGATGCGACTTCCCAGCCACATGCGACAGCGCGATCGATCCAAGATGAACCCAATGCTAACGGATATCCACAGCTAAAACTAAGAAGACGTATCTCGTACAAGGCCGCAACTCCTCCGCGTGGACAGTGACGCTCATCATAACATGCATCTATCTCGCCTGGTCCGAGATCGCGCGCTGGTTCGCCGGCACAACCACACAATCGTTCGCCGTCGAGAAGGGCGTGGCCCACGGCATGCGGATAAACCTCGACTTGATAGTAGCTATGCGCTGCGCCGACCTTCACGTCAACATGCAAGATGCTGCCGGTGACCGCACCCTAGCTGGCGAACTCCTGCGCAAAGACCCAACATCATGGGCACAATGGACCGGCAAGAACGCCGAGAGTGGGACACACGAACTGGGCAAAGATAAGAAAGTTGGATGGGATGATATCGAGGACGTACACGAGCAGCTGGGCAAGGCGCGGAAGAGCAAGTTCAGCAAGACACCGCGTGTGCGCGGACAGACTGACAGCTGCCGTATCTACGGCAGTATCATTGGAAACAAGGTGCAGGGCGACTTCCATATCACGGCTAGGGGCCACGGATACATGGAGTTTGGAGAGCATCTGGACCATTCCAGTAAGCCCAAAGAACCAAGAACCACGAAGATAACATTTGCTAACATCCACCAGCATTCAACTTCTCACACATCATCCGCGAAATGTCCTTCGGCCCATACTACCCCTCGCTCGTCAACCCGCTCGACAACACCATCGCCGTAACACCCACGCCCCAAGACAAATTCTACAAATTCCAATACTACGTCTCCATCGTCCCCACCATCTACACCGACGACGCATCCATGATCCCCTACCTCACATCCAGCACATCGGAAGAAGACACACCCTTCTCAAACATGTTCCACACCACCCACGCCATCAAGACCAACCAATACGCCGTTACATCGCAGTCCCACAAGGTCGCTGAAACCTACGTACCGGGTATCTTCGTCAAGTTCGATATCGAGCCTATTCTGCTGGCAGTGGTGGAGGAGTGGGGTGGCTTCTGGAGGCTGATTGTTAGGCTGGTGAATGTTGTCAGTGGTGTTATGGTTGCGGGGAGTTGGGCGTGGCAGATGTTTGACTGGGCAAGTGAGGTCATGGGGAAGAGGAGGAGGAGGGGTGATGGTGTGGGCGTGTTGGGGACGCCGTCTGTGGAGAAGAAGAGCTGGGATTAGATGATGGTTTGGGGTGTTGATAGAGGGGAGGATGCATCCAATGGCGTTTAGGTTATGGGGAATGGGTTTCATCTTGGGAATTTTGTGAGTAAAGTAACCTCCTTTCTACGAATTTATAAGTGCTGCATACCGTGGAGTATCTGTATTGGCAGAATGGCTCGTGGCGAATATTGGATTTTGAGATTGCGGGACTGCGCGATTGCGCTATGGTACGTGTTGCTTTTCGTGCCTTACAATCCGCCCCCCTTGCGTAGCTGACACTTCTGCATAGAACCCTGGAAGCAGCGCGTACTTCAACACGTACGATCAGCTCCATCAAATAAGAATTATCGCCAGTTCAAGAATTAGTGCGCACTTCGACAAACGCTCCAGCCGACTTCTCTCCCACCTTCTCCCTCTTTCATTCGTTGCTTAGCGGTTTGTGCTACAAGGCGCTAGGCTGTATCTTACTTGCTCTTGCACCACCTTCGTCGGTCTTTGATTGTTTACCTCCCCACAAAATACTGACAAACGACCACATCACTATCTACTCTCTACCCTCTTTGGCAGAGGCTTCTACCACCAAATACTGACGAGCGAACGAACGCACCAAAAAACTTTCTTTATCGCATTTCTACTCGACTTGACTACACCCCGACTATGGCGTCGCCAACTCCACCGCAAGATCAAGGTGATTCGCGAGATGAAACCGAGGAGGAGCGAGATGATCGGATAAGGGAGGACCTTCGGGCTAGAATGGTAAGTTATGGCTATACGAAGTGCATGTGAGACATATACTGACTTCGTACCCCTACCTCTGCAGCCTGCTATGGCTGGTCTTGACCGTCGTGGGGAATTGTCGGTCTCGCAAGAAGATGCCCGCGAAATACAGCAACGTTCACAACAAGATACCAGGCTTCGGAACAGCTCGCGCCTGATTCGTGCAAGGGACGCTTACGAGGCTCGCCGCGCTCTCGGTAGTCAGACTGCGCGCGTCGCTCCCAGTAATCCGACCGTCACTGAAGCAGAGGGTCAAGGAGCCGCCACTACACCGCGCCCAGATTCACCTCTACCTGCGCCACGATACAGGCGGATAGGTCCAACCGAGAACGTCATTGAGCTACACGTTCCTCAGAATCGACCTGCCACAGAGCGAACTAGATGGTCAGACCCAAACTTGGAGTCGCGTCTAGCGTCAGTCGGTCGTATTCAAAACATATTGAACCCTGAGCCTGTTCAGACTCCCCGGGCTAAAAGCCATATGCCCACTCTGCGGTCTCAACCGGAATTCTACATGACCGGAGTGATAGCTGTCGACCCCACCGCGGAGGGTCTTCCCGACAACGCGGAATGTACAATCTGTCTTGAACCTCTCTCATACGACGTGGTAAAGTTCCACGCTTGCGGCCACATGTTTCATGTGGTCTGTGTACAGAGCTGGTTCGATCAGAGCGCGCCGCGTACGGGTGTGAAGCGAGGTACTTGCCCAAACTGTCGACATCAGCTGTACGAGCCAGATCCGCGATTTGGACGTGCGCGGCAACCTGCTGCTGTAGAGCGGACGCCTCAACAGTTGAGTGCGTTGCTACGTGCTTCAGAGGTTGAACTGGTGGCTACGACACGACCTCGTACCCTAGAGACTCCACAGACGAATACTCCCCGAGTTACTGGTAGTCCCGATCGTGAGTCCCGTCTCGCGCAGTTCACTGCTGATATGCAAGAACGTGTGAGGGCGCATGACCAGCAAGAGCAGCAGGCTGGCAATGCTCCAGCCCCAGCTCTAGATCGAAGGTTTGTAAGCGTCACTCGAGTACCTCATGTCGCTCCCGGATCTCACCTACCTGGATACGCGCCTCATCGCATTGAGTCATCGGAGAGCCCCCGAGGCGGTACGATGGAACGAGATTTGCCTACTGCCCGGCTTCCTCCGTTTCAACTAGGCTTTCCTAGCACGGCAGATGGTCGTCAGCAGCCAATTAGTCAGAACCGAATGCTTGAATATCAGCAGATGTTAAATCAACAGCGACAGAATGCATCCAACAACTCGCGATTCCAAACACTTGGTCGTTCAGCGGCCAGTATAGCAATGACTGATGCATTGCGCCGGCCTACTACATCCGCTAGAGAACCAGAAACTGGACATGGACCGTCAGATGTAGCGGAGCCGGACGAAGATTCTGATGCCGATGATATTCCCTTTCCAACATTCATCCCGGAACGACCTCCAACATCAACATTTCAATCTAACGGACTCTCGAATCAACCACGCGAGTCTCGAGCCGATCTAGCAGCACGTGCTATCGCGGAGCGTCGCCCCCTGTCAGAAGTACCAGGCCTCAACACCGGATTTGCAACTATCCCACCTCTTTCGCCACAAGAGGCTGCACGACTTGTCAGGGTCCGCGAGTTACCAGGGTCAGGGCTTGACCTAGCTACCCGCACTACTGATTCACTCCGAGACGAGCAGCTCATGTTATTGGAACGCCTCCGCGCGGTACAAACACAGATAGGCCGAAACCTAGAAGCATCTGGAGAGCTTCCAATGAACGCTATCGAGCGAAGGGAACAGATACGGGAGAGGGAGCGGAATGACCCACGCACTGCACATCTATATGGTGGGCCGGCGCCTGGGCCGCAGGATAACACTGCGCATCGGCCGCCGCCAATCGCGATTCCTCGACTTGCCGACCCATCGATTACTGACCTACGGTCATCTCGCGAGCCTCCTGATCCAAGAGCTATAGGCACAGGAAATACTATATGGTCGACGGACTATCCACCACCGGAAGATATGCGGTATATACTCAACCGCAATCCGGCTTCGAATGGATCGTTAGGGTCACCACATTATGTATATCCTTCCCCTCCAGGTTTCCACCGCGACGTCTCAAGAGTCCATAGCCCACTCTTTCCTTTCTCTCCAGACGGTCCCCGCACCGCCACAAACAGCAACATGCTTCACGGACGAAACTTCAACGATGAACGATTTACGTTGCCTGAGTTGCTCGCTTTGACTACACGCTCTGATACCGTAGCCGCTGCTCAGCCTGCTTCTGAAGGCAACCAGAACGCAGCCGCGGAAGATACAAGGTCAGTACAACATCCACGTCGCGTATCTAGCACCGTCGTGAGGCACATGCATGATGACTCACTACCCTTCAGAGCCGCATCAACAGATCCTACTGCCTTCAGGCAACGTCCTCGGGGGCGTCCTAGGCCGGTTTCTTTCCATCGGGAAGCACAAGAGGCCACTGCATCAGATACACAGCGCTTTCGTTCTCGTGAAGCACGGTCTGAATCGCTCCAAGAAGATGACAATAGCACCGATGTCCCTGAGGCATCAAGCTAGACTTGTTACTTTAAGATATCAGGCATGATAGAAAGAGGAGAATGGTGAGCGCGGTTTGGGCGATTTGGGTACGATTGAAGCTTGAGCGCGTTCGAAGAGACAATGCATAAGACCCCTTGAGCTTTGAGGTGGAGTGAAAAGAGTATGTTCATGATGCAGCTAGTGTCAGTGATCAGTCGTTGGCTATCGATGTTGGGCTTACCTCAACGGGGTCATCAACGGTTTGATGTAGACATCGAACAAATACAATAAAAATCATTGATCAAATGTCTGGTTTGTCAGCCCCGGTTCCTGATCAACGTCGCGAGTGAAGGCCTGAGGACGCGGAAGCCCCGATCATCGTGGTATATATTTCACCCAAGACCACAGAAGAAGCAGTGAAAGTAGTAGGTCATAGATCTTGCCCATAGGATCCTACATTGTGAATGTCCATCTCGCCACAATGCTGTACAGCCACAGTCTAATGCTTTTCACAGCCTAATAAAGAGGAGCCTATATTGTGTGATCCCCGCCGGGTTTCAACAGATAATCTCCTCAACCCACACCCGACTCTCCAGCTCCGCTCATAGTTCCAAACAGCCCAGCCGTGAACATGGACTCCTACGTCGGGCGTGAAATTCCGGAGCCTAGTGATACATCGTCGTCTACCAACGAGCGTGCTGTCCCACAGACCAACACCACACCGCCGTCTAACATGCCCGCTCTCCGCAGCCAAGGAGAGTTCTTCATGACTGGCATCGTACCAGCAGGGCCCCAGCCCGAAGAATCAGACTGCTCAATTTGTGCCGAACACCTGGCCGAAGATGTGGTACAGATAGCTCGCCCATGCGGCCACATGTTCCACGCTGTGTGCCTGCTCACCTGGCTCCAAGGCGATGGACGACGAAACCGCACTTGCCCCAATTGCCGCTGTGAGCTGTATGCGGCGCCAGTGCCCCAACCGTCAATGAATCTTGCTCCTCCAAGCCGCACCCGAGAAGCTATCATGGAGCAGAGGATACAGGTACAATATGAGACCTTGCGGCGTGCGCGAGAAGATCAGGTAAACAACCTAAGGGTTTTGGAAAATAACCTAAGATCGACTCAGGTCGCTTTGGGACGAGAGCCTACAGCCACCCGCACACCGATTCCTGCGCAACCGGTAAACTTTGATCATCGCCCCATCCCGCTTTCAGACACATCAGAGGCCAGCGGGCGATCGAGAAGGCGAACTCATGCTGAGAACTTGGGGCGTCGGACGGAAGGTACCAACATCACCCAATGGCGGAGACAGACTGCTCAGGAACGAGAGGATGAAGCGACCCTCGCAGCGCTTGTCTTGGAGGCAGAAGATAGAAACATTACTCGAAGGCCGAGACAGGTCGTGGAAAGAGACGCCGAGGGAGTCGAAACGGTGGTTGGTACGTGGCCGCCTCATAGCTCCCTCCATGGTGAGCCTGTAGCCAGCTCCGCCAATCAGACAACGGCATCGGGAAGAGCAGAAGAAAGGGCTAGACTGCAATCCACGCATGACTTAGCGGTGGCTGAAATGAGACAATTGGAAGCAGCGCGTCTTGAAGATGGGCTTCTACACGACAGTGCCGAAGCAGCAGCACTCGAGCGAAACTTGGCAGATCTGAATAGAATCAGACGCGACAGCAGACAGCAACTTCAACAGTTGGATAGACGACCCGCAGAGGAAGACCGTTCGTCAGATGATTCGATTCCCAGCATCAGGACGCCCAGACGCCAACGCATGTTAGCTAGACGGGCTGCTGGAGAAGACAGCTCGTCAGATGATTCGGTTCCCAGTATCAGGACGCCCAGACGCCAACGCATGGCAGCTAGACAGGCTGCTGGAGAAGACAGCTCGTCGAATGCCTCGTCAGATGTCCCCAGCATCAGGATGACACGCATTGAAGCTATGGCGAACTTACGAGCCGCTGAAGAAGCCGCTGAAGAAGCCAGATCCTCACATAATTCGAACCCCAGCAGCCGAATTACTGACGCCGATGCGAGGTTGTATTTAGCCAGAGTGAGGGCAGCGCGACTGGAGGAAGAAAACAGGGCGTTGATGGAGGCAGTCTCAAGGGGACAGATCAGCCAGACGCCAGAATCCTCAGCAACCAACAACATTTCCCCACAACCTACGCAGTCTGCGGCTCGAGGCCCTATCATTGGGAGAACCACATACCCGGCTCCACCACAAAATACCACCGAACCTATCGCCCCAGCACGCGATTTCGCGCCGAGTAGATTAGCACGAGCCCGTCGTGTCGCGTTGCTGGCCGGCCGTGGCGACGATGTCCCAGAAGATGAGATTGCCGAGTATTATGGCTTTCCTGGTCTGACTCAGCTGCACGATGAAGCCACTTTTACACGCATATCGAACTTGGCGCGCATGCGCGTTCGCGCTCAAGCTGCTGCTGAGCTGGCCACTGTGGACATGATGAATGAACAGGATGATGAGATTCGAAACTTGTTTTGGCCTGGAAGGCAAGCCAGTGACAACAATTGATGATGTAGCTTGTTCGACGTATTGATACGTTGTCGGTTTTCTTTTGCTCTTTAGATGGATCCTTGGGTATATAGCTTGCCTCAACTGAATAACTCTTTCCCTTGTATACTACCCCCCAGTATTGTTTTGTTCCTCCCGTGATACTTCCTTCTACTTCAACACCCACTCTCTTTCCCCCTCTTTTACATCCACAACATCACGTTCGTTTTTAATCCACTTTGCCTCCCCGTACGGCCGCACAACAGCCAATA